ATATTGCATGGAAGAAAATTTGAGAAAATATTTAAGCATAAATCTAGAATTTTTTTAAAAATCTAGTTCTTTGTGGCCAAATACAATAAATTATGCTGAAAAAAAAAATTAATAGAAATGATTTAAAACGTGTTGGCAATAACATTTGGTAAATTATTGGATGGGATGATCTAATAGATAGATTATCGGTGCATGCTCATATTACAAGGAATCAACAAGAAGCATTAATAAATTAAAAAAAAAAAAAAAAACAAAAGATAGATGAAAATAATAAAAGGCTATCTAAAAGAACTATAAGTAGAAAAAAAACATGAAAACAAAAGAATCCTACATATGAAGAAAAAAAAATAGAATATTTCTACAAAAGAAAGAAAAATTGTAAAAGAGAATTTAAAGGCTTTTACTTATAAATTACAATTAAATATTGAAGTTGCTATAGATTTGAAGAAAGTATTAGAGGATCAGGTTTCAAGTTAAAAGATTGAATTTATAATTAATGAAATCCTAAAGATTACAAAGCATAAATTTTATAAAGTTATTATTCAATCTATAGGAAATACTATGACATCAAATATATAAGAAATAAGAACATTAGAAAGAAATGAAGATGAAAAAGATGAAATGCAAAGTTTTGGAGATGTCTTGCAAGTAAGATTTACAAAAAAAAAAAAGATGTGATTTAAGATTCTAGTCATTACTCTTGAAATTATTGGATAAGGGCTACTACAAAAACTTTGATAAAATTGAGAGATTTAGAAGAATCAATTGTAGCATAGATTGATTATGGTTCTAAAATTAATTTGATATCAAAAGAATTACATAAAAGGAAAAAAATAATCTATTGATATTGAACATAGGTAGATGATAAGAAGAGCAAATAATTCAAAGGAAGATTTGAATGGAGCTTGTTTAAATATTAAAGTGACAATAAGAGATGTTTTTTATGAATAAAAAAAAATTTGTACCAGATATATCTACATATCCTATTTTATTGGGACAATTATATATTATTCATACACAAATGGAAACAAAGATAATCGATGATGGTTTAGCCTATATAAGGATAAGAAATGAAAATAGAAAGAAGACATTGCAATTTTTAATGATTTATGCAAATCATAAAAGAAATTGGAATAGTTTAAAGGGACATCGTTTATCAAAGATAAGTAAAGAATTTAAAGATCTTAACGACTCAAAGGATTTTTATTAGAGACTATTGTGAAGCAAAGTTGCAATGATAGAAGAGATGATGGCATTCCACTTAGTAGAAGAAATAAGGCTATTATAAGATTATCATGGGATGAATATATTTTATTCAAAAATATAAATAATTTTAGAAGAATAGAAAAGAAAATTATCAAAAATATAAAACATAAATTAAAAAAATACAAAGTGATTGATGAAGATGAATACATATCAAGGATATTTGAAGAAACTTACTTTGGTGATATTGAGTTTAGATTTTGAAGGTAGTGATAAGGTAATAAATGTGCATGCTAAACAAATTTACAATGAAATAAAAGAATATATGGATAAGTATGAAGTAAAGGTGAATACAAAATATAAGGTCATTGCAAAGAAGATTAAACCAATGGCATTGCCACTACCATTGAATATTAAGAAAATAGTTGAGAAGGCTTTTATGCAACTCAATTTAAGACATTCAAAAAAAAATAGGTCATGAATTTAAGGATGAATTGATATTAGATGGTTTGAAAGTTAGATGTGAAGAATATTTAAATAAGAAATGAAGAGAGATATTTCAAAGAAATATTTTCTTCACATGGTAAGGCATTTACATTTGAATCACAAGAAATAGGATGTATTGATCTAAGTATTGTAGCACCTATGATTATTTTTATAATTCCACATGAACTATGGAATTTGAGGCCAATTTCAGTTCCGAAGGCCCATTTTCCAAAACTAGTTGAATTGCTCAATAAAAAGATTAGAACAAGAATTTTAGAACAATTTATTGTACCATATTCTAATTGGTGGTTTTAGTATCTAAGAAAAGAAGACATTGAGATTTATTCAAAATATGCAACCTAAAAATAAAGTAATTATTAGAAATATGGATTCAAATCTATTTTTCTATGAATTTACAGAGGTATTTGTAGGAAAATCAATTTATTCTATAGGAGATCTTTATTCAAGATATGATCAATTTCAATTGATAATACAAAGTAGAGATTTAATAATTATAAAGATACTATTAGGATTGATCAAAATGTGTATCTTACTACAAAAGGCTACAAATTTTGTGGCACACATGATAAATTGGTGCATACTAAAAGATGAATAGATTTAAGGAGAGTGGATGTTATAATGTAACATGGCTATTAGGTAAAAGAGTGAAAAAAATATTATATTTTAGAAGATCTTATTTCAAAATATTATAATAAATTATCTTAAAAATATAGATAATAGTCAAAGGATAATAAACTAAAAATATAATTTTTTTTACAAAGTGAGCTTCTATTTACTTTATAAGTCCAAAAATAAGGAAAAATAAGATATATTAGAAAAATAAAGAATATAGGTATATTTAGAAAAAAATAAAAAAAAATTTAAGCAAAAATTCATCAAGAAGGCAAAAATTAATACCCTGAGAGGATTAATTATCAACCTAGGTTGGAATCAAATTCTAAGATACAAAATTGCATATCTATGGTGATTTTAGAATTTTTTTGCAAATTAAAAAGTAAGATTTGAGAAAAGAATTCATAAGATTTCTTAGAGTATTAAATTTAAGCAATTTGAATTTGTAATGACTTTGTAATGACTTTGTAAGAGCTTTACAAAGTTAAGATTGTTTTAGATGACTTTGGATTTTATAAAATAAAATAAGATTTATAATTTGAGCAATTTCGTAACTTTTGTAGTAGACCTACAAGTAAAATTTTGTGGAGTTGTGAATATAGTTGTAATGAACATATGTTAAGAATTTGAGTCTAATTAAAAAATTGAATTGGAGGTTATTGAAGTTTAAATAAGTTAAGGTCTCAATAATTAGATTTTTAGGTTTAATAAGGTTATTTAAGATTTGTAACAATTTGCTAGCTAGATTGAGGTGATTTTTATTGAAGTTAATACTTGATTTAACTTCCAATACTTATGCAAAATTTGAAAGGAAGTTAATAATTCAATTAAAATTTATTGATGTTGGCAGATTAATATTAATGTCAAAGATGGAGGCCAGCAGATGCTCGAGTGGATTATGACATTTTTCTCTCATTTTATAAGTCTAATTATCTTCAAATCTATTATACTTTTTTTAATTAAGAGATTGAAAATTTTTAAAAAATTTAAGTAAGATCAATAGTTTAATTAATATATATTGAGGTTCTAAAATTGTCTTAAGAATTGTTTGAATTGGTTAGGTTTTGGTCACGGTTGGTTTGAATTGTTTAGGTTTTGATTAGGATTTTTTTTAGAAATAGATTAGAATTTGATTTAGGATTTTTTTGGAATTTTTTTAGGATTTCTTATGGATTTTTCTAGGATTCTTATAGATTTCTTTTAGATTTCTTTAGAGCTTTTTTAAGATTTTTTTAGGATTTTATAAGGATTTCTTAAATATTCTTGTAAATTTCTTTAGAATTCTTTTGGATTTTTTTACATGATGTTTTTTATTTCTTTTAGATTTTTTTAGGATTTCTTTAGGATTTCTTTATTATTTCTTTAGAAGTTCTTTAAAAAAAATTATTTTTTTAATAATTTATTTAAAATTTATTTTTTAATAATTGAGCTTGATCAATATTTGATTATATTTGTTAAGTTTTAATTATAGTTTATATATGATTCTATTAGAGTTGTTAAGATTTATTGTTGTAAATTTCTTTTATCTTCCAGAGCCAAGTACTTGGTGCATTCTCAAATATGATAGGTGATTGGTAGGTTAGAAACTTGACCAACAAATTAGCCATGTGTTGCACATGTTAATAACTTGTAAAGCAAGATAACTACGTGGTGTATATATAAGAAACTTATCTAGTAACTTAGATATGTCTTTTGCAAATTAAATACATATTGGAAGTCTTATAGAATATTACCATATAATTCTTAGATAGATAGCATATATAGAGGCAAGAGTAAAGTCTTCTTCACTCTTATCAACTCATTTCTTGCTTTTAGTCTAGTTTTAAGAGTTTTTAGCTTCTTAGTCTTTGGCAATAGCTATTCTAGTTTCTTATTAAACATATTTGTTTTCTTATTTTTATTTTATCATTTTTCTTTGATTCATTTTTCACTTGTTTACATATCTTCTTTCCATTCTTGTCCTTGACACCTACACACTTCTAATTAACAAAAAATTGCATTCAAATTATTTAAAATTAGGATTTGTAAAAAAGCTCATATTTTGAAAAGGCTTGTATAATGGTTGTAGAACATGATTGTATTGTACAAGTGACAAATTCAATCTGGCTACATGTATTACATTCTTATTTTATTTTTTGATCCTTCATCTCAATACTTAATTGCTTCTTTCCAACTCTTTGTCATTTACCTTAGCCATCTTGGCCTTTGCTCCTCTTGGCCCAATTTTTGCAAGTGAGCATGGATGAAGAAAGGCGGGTATTTAAAAGTTTGTTAATATTATCCAACATCTACTCATGGATGGAAAAGCACCATGGTATAGTTCTAGGAGAGATTTGGCCCCAACCCTTGGCAAGCAACTTTATTTGGCGTTGTCCCTTCTATAGCCGTGGATGACTAATATGTGCCCTATGTTTCATTTCATCGCCAGAGGGTCCCGTTCTAGGGGTGATTCCGCCAAACCGATAAGATGACTGCCCGGAGGTGATACTCAGCGACTGATTCAATGGCCAGTCTCGATGTCGACGAATGAAATTATGAAGATGAAATACATTTCGAATGGATGGTTCTGGACTGATTGTGCGGATGGCGAAATTGGATGAAGATGGATGCGAACAGCGAAATGCACCAGTCTATGGCGTGTTCATTCATCCAAAGGCCGAGGTCGTCTTGTATCGGACCCAGGTCTCCGTATCGCTTGCATCACAATCAGGAAGGTGAAATCGGAGATGTGTGGGACGACAGATCGTGTTACGAGGCCAATCGTGTTGCGATGGTTTGTAAGTTGAACTCTGTTGGTATTGCAGGAATTGATGTCGGCCATTCAATGACGTGTTGGATTTTGTGGGAGGTTTTGTGACGAGGTTGTAAAGGGAGAAAGTAGGGCTAGGATCGGTAAGCGGGGAGGCGGGGCAGGAAGTTGGAGGAGCGATGGCGGGGCTTCTGGCATGGGCCGCGGATGTGGTGGTAGGGAATGGGAGCGAATCGGCCGATCGCACTCTTCATTTCACGCCGCAGCAACGGCAAGCGGTCAGTGCGCTCGACGCTCGGGCCGCAGCTTTGCAGCACAGCCTGCAATTGCTGCGTCAGCGCATGCCGCCCTCTAACATCGCGCAGCGATTGCCTCATCTGCATGCGGATTCACTTGCTTCGCATTCCGCATTGGCCCTCGAGAAGCATGCCCACTCTGCTACGCTCAATCAGGTGCAATTTTGGTGACTTCTAGGGTTTTATGCTTTTTGTCTTCGGAGAGGAGCTACATCTGGAAGCATCGCATCCGATTCCTGCAAGAGTATATTCTTTAACTGAGCTTTTGCTGCGAATTGGCACGAGATTTGATTGCATGTTTTGTTCCAGTTGCAAGCTCGAGAGGCATCCTTACAGGCTGAAAATGAAAACTATGCGAAAGCATTAGCGGCCAGGCAGCAGCATGCCCGTGAAAAGGCTCAAGAAACTTTACAGTTGGCGGCCACTCTTGAGGTGTTTACTTTCATCTCCCTTAATGTTAGTATATATTTTTCGCTGGGTAATGCACGAGTATTCAGACAACGATTGAACAGATTGGCAATTTCGAGAACTGTGTTTGATACTAAGTCGATAAAGGATTTTCAAATCCAAATATCACTTTCATAGAAGACGTTCACGTTAATGATCTGTAGAACTCCCTCGATAGCTAAAATCGCTTGTGGAGGCAACCAGGAGAGCTATTATTTTTTTCAACTTTGAATGCTAAGTTTTAATTCACTCAGGAAATAGAGGCTACTGAAGTGAAGTTAAGAGCAGATCTGGAGCGATTACAAAAGGCCGTTGCACTGAGAGATGGTCTTGCTTCCTCAGCAGTCTCAACTGATAAGAAGGGACTACAAGATGATAGCAAACGCTCTGATTTTTCAGCCATACAAGATGTGTCTACACTTGAAGAACAGGAGTTGCAATCAATCAAATTAGAGCTGGTAAGATTAAGAAGTCGTGATTGTCCTCACCACTACATTTGATGGCTCGGATTACTCAGGAAAGCTCATGCAGTGACGAATTTCATTCAATCTTATTGATCTTCCCGGTGGTAGGTGTCAAATTCTATGTTAGTGACTGATGTGTCTTTCATTGCAGCAATTCATTCATGTCTGCAATGATTTATATGGTTGTTTCTGTTACAGGATTCTCGCTGTATATGTGCTAAATTTACCACTATTACCGTCATGGTTTTCATCCGTAGGTCGTTAAGTTTGGTTGCAGACGCTTTGGAATGTCTTGGTAGTGTCTGTGTCTGCAATGTTGATAGAGTTTCCAGATTAGGTTCCGTAAACAACTAGATAAACGAAGATACTTTGAGTTAAATTTGCCTTAAGTCCCTCATAAATTATGTGTAGGCTAGGTGGGAAGGTAAAGTAATCAGGCTCGAGAAGGAATGGGAAGCTCTGCAACACAACACATCAAGAACGCCCTCTCCAGGTGACTGTCGAAATGACTCTTTCTAAAGATACAGTATCGAATATAGTGCTTCAATATTCAAGTCACAGCATTCAATGAACAGACGTGCTTCAATAAATTGTTGACTTTTACATCTCGATTCCTTTTGTTCGTACAAGTCTCTCAGTTTAAAAAATAAGATTAGTCTTGAAGATGATCTATGTATGTTCGTTTGAAAAGTGTCAAATTTCCTTGCATGGACTTGTTTGATAGGCTTGATATAGTAGCGAGTGAGCACAACTGATTTGATGGGCTCGGCCACTTTGTAGCTCAACGCGAGAAGGAGCTTGAGCGCCGGTTAAGGACCCTGACTGAGCAGCTGGTAACCAAGCAGGTAACGCCTTGGTAACGTTTGCACGTCTCATGGAAGGATCTAAATTGAGCAAAGTTTCATGATCTTAACAATTGTTAGTATTTTCAGCGAAATCATTTCTCTTATAGTACTCTTTTTTTACAGGCCCAAGCAGAGTCACTTGCGAATGAAAGAAATGCACTGGAACTCCGCCTCGTGCAAGCCAATGAAGCACGTCAGAATTTACTCTCTGGCAACGGGGACCTTGACTTTAAGAGGAATAAGATAGGCCGGTCATCATCAGGATTGTCGTCGCAAACTGCTACGTTGGCGTTAGAGATTGCTTCACAGCGGTCAGCAGTGATCCGTCAGAGGGGTGCAAAGGTCACGGAAAATGTAGCTCGAGTTGCCAGAACTGTGGATGCTTTCAGCATGCATGCTGGGAGTCAGTTGAGGAGAAGCATGCTCATGCGCACCTTAACGGTTTGTTATGTACTCGGTCTTCATGTTGTTGTGCTTCTGATTCTTTCATCTGTGGGTCTGGGACGCCTTCATTAGCTCTAAACCCCCATTTACTCGTAGGAACCCATCGTGTCTTTTACTCAGAAACCGCAGTAGATACATGGCTATGCTGTAATTATTTGTTTTATCACAACCTTTTTGGAATGGACAATGATTTCATGTTCAGGAAATGTTCGATATTGCATTGGACCTCCAGTGTAGTCGAATGAAGGTATCAAACATACAATGAGCAAACTATATATCGAATGGGCATTTGTATTGGGGAAATTCTTATCTTTTGTTTATAAAGTGCCTCTTTTAATGCAATACTTTTTGTCTACAGGTTTTGTTGTTTCACATGGAAACTAATTTTTTTATATACATCTTGACTTTCAATTTTTGGGTGAAACGTAATTGGGAACTAAAAATCATTAAATAAATGTGGAACTAACAATTTCAAATCTACCAAGAGTAATGTACATTGAATTTATGTTTATACCTGCAATTGCCGAAACAGAAAGCTTTTTTATTTTTTATTTTTGAAGTCATGTTCTGCTATAGATGTTTTAGATATTCAATACAATTTACAAACATTTATACAATGCATATTAAAACATTTGTGATTAAAACATTGTAGATAAGTCCAAATCTTAAATTGTAATTTATTTATTTATTTATTTATTTTTGTTGGTTTTAAAAATCATAATGATGATACTTTTTATTTAGAACTATCTGTATAAAAATAATTCTTTAAGTACTTTGTGAAGGAAAGGCAGATGTGAGTTCTACTTCCTAATAATGGGGATTGATCCTAATGCAAAGATCTAAAACTTTATATATATATATATATAGCATTTTTGAGTGATTAAATAAATAAATAATGTAGATAATCTACAAATAATGAAGAAACAATTTTTTTCAATAGATGAGAACATAATCTATTCTTTTACACAAAGATCTACAAAATGTAAGGAAGAATGAAGAAAAGAAACTTGTAAGCACGTGAAAGTAAAGTCAACAAATCTATCGTAAATAGATATTGTACTACATGACATGTTTGCAATTATTCAAAACTAGAATAATACAAATCTAAAACATTACCTTTGAAAAACCCACAATAGTCATTGCTTGCAAGAGAGCAAAAATTATAAGATGTAAATTCCACAAATTTGTTATAATAACTTAGTAACAATATGCAATGTTAGAGTCATCACAACTCAATCCCTCACAAAACTAATCATATAAAATACATTATTAAACATAGTTCACAAGCAACAATAGAAGAATAAACTTAACAAATCAATTAAGAAATGACCACTAATAAATTTATTTCTTATACAAAAAGTGGAAAATAACTCACATTGTCTTTTCATTAAATCCTTTTGACTTGACTCATTTTGTGGCATAATCTTTGTCTAGTAATATATATTTTAATTATTTTTATAATGTGTTATAAATTTGGTGGAAATAAGATTACCAAAAATAATTCTATTTGACATTGGTAAAATACATTCATTTCTAATTGGATATATAACTTCACATCTTATAATATTGTAATTTTTTTGTTTTATTTATCAAGTTACTAGGTGAAATTAACCATTTCTATTAAAATTAGGTATTATTATTTTATGACACAAATAAAATTTCTCCAATTTATTATAGAAATATAAATAAATAAATAAATAATTAAAAAATATATATATATATATATATATATATATTCCTATATGTAAATTTAAAATTAAGTTTGATGTAATATAACATGATTAATTATTGAATATTTTATATTATTTATTTCATATTATTTTTAAAATAACTAAATTTATCAAAATGAGATCTAAATGATTTTTATTTTTAGATATAAAAATAGAATTTATTTGGTGCATCAATAGATTGAAGATCTTAAAACAAACACCTCAATCTTGATACTTAAAAGAGTAGAATCAAACGTACAATTTGAAGTAATTATTATTACTTCATTAAACCATTACATTTGCATATATTGTAACCACATTGTGGTATTCTAAAAACATTATTTGATTATCTTGTGAGGTTTGAATGAGTTTGGTTATTAATCAAGACATTAATTGAATATCATCACGTCAGATTTTTCTCTTTGATTTATACTTTTTACATGCAAATAATTATACATATTATTATTTTTTATAACTACATGTTTCTTTTTGTCCTACAAAATTGGTGCAATTTGTAATTTAGTAATGTGATGCTTTTATATATTTATGGACATTTTCATTTAAATACAATTGAAATTCCATCTTACCTTCCATATGGATTGAAACTCAAATTAATGTAGAGTATCACATTATGTCATACACACACACACACACACATATATATATATATATATATATATATATATATATACATATACATATATATAGGAAAATGGTAAAATGATCTTTTCATTTACTAAATTAATCCATCATATCGTAACCATCATTAGAAAAATGGATCATCTCAAGAAACCATCATTAGGATCATGGTCCTCATCTTGACTCCTCTTGTTTTTAACCCCTATTTCCTTTGTTTCCAATCTTCTTCATACCAATGTCAAGGACATGAACTCAAAGAAGATGCATAAATTTGGAAAATTTGTTTCAAAAGAAAAATGATAAAATAGCAATAAAATAGTATGTATATTAAAAAGAAATTAGAATGGCTATTGCCAAAAGACAAGGAAACTAGAGACTCTTGAATCTAGACTAGAAGCAAGAAAAAAATTGGCAAGAGTGAAGAAGGCTTTACTCTTGCCTCTATATATACTATCTAACTAGAAGCTACATGGCAATGTTCAATAGGACCTCTAATATGTATTGACTTTGTAGGACACATGCTTTACCTTACAAGGCAAGTTTTCTATGTGCGAGCCACATAATTAGCTTGTTCTTCAAGCTACCAACATGTGTGGCATATGGCCAACTTGTTGACTACATTTCTAATCTAAAAAGTCAATTATTGATACCTATAAAGTCAAAACAACATCTATAAAGCTTTTAAGAAGCTTCTTTAGAAGATATTATGGAATTAACCTATTTTTACTTACTTTAATTTAATCATATAGGTAATTATTAGTTTACATGTATATATCCGTGATATTACCTTCTCTTCTAGAGATAAGTTCCACAAGGAACAGTCATCATATGTTGAAGAAATCCAAGATGCAACAAATTGTATTTGTTACATATTTTGATCTTTGTTCTCGTCGAAGATGATTGATAGGGCTTCTCAACCATTGATAGTGTCTTGTATCAAGGTGGAAAGACTACCTAATTATTTGATCATTGTTGAGGCTTTCATAACTTCCTTCAAATAAAACATTTGAAATATTGTCAAGAATTGTTTCTATTTCTAGTAAAATCACCAAACATCAAAAGTTCTTTTTAAGGTAGTGATATCAAATGCATTGTATCTCACCATCTATTTGAGGAAGTATATGTTATTCTTGGAGATCTTCATCTCGATTGTATCATCTTGAATGTTACACCTTTCAAGATGCCAAGGATAGAAGGTAGAATGCAATCTTCTCTGGACCTTGTTTCTTTTATAACAAAGACTTACTATTCTTTATCTTGGTTTTGATGGATGTCATCAATGAAAAGCTTCCATTATCTTTGTTGCATTTGTAAGATTCTTTATTAGCTCCTATGTGCATTCACTAATATCATATTTCCAACAATAGATTAGATATTTCAATTTATTTTGGCGTCACCTTGAGTCTAGAACTTCTTTCTCTTCAAATCCTTTATTATTGTGTACTTCTATTGGAGAAGGTAGGACTTGTCTTCTTCTTAGTATATTCACAACCTTATATGGTTCAAGAAGAGACACAAGAAAGACAAGATGGATCTTCATTGACTCCGGTAGATGTAATCCATAAACAACTCGATTGATTTGTCTACAAATAAGAAAAGGTCCAAGCCTAGGATAGTCCAACTTATCATAAAGATGAATAGTCTTGATGTTACAACAAAGTAATCATATGTTGTCACCTATATTAAATTGTGGTTGTTCCTTTTGATAGGCATTCGCATTGATCTTTTTTTGTTCTTGAGATTCTTTTAATTTCACCTTTATTGTTGCATATAGCTCAAACAAAAAATTTGCTAAACCTTTCGTTGTAAGATTATCAACTTTTGAAAAGTCAAAAGTATCAAGTTGTGGATAGTAACTATTGTTCTCATTGTGTTCAAGCTTCAATATACCAAAGCAATTGAACTAATAGAGGTGGCTTTGAATACGGGAAAAGATTGATTATATGAATTAGATCTGTTAGTATGACAATTGACTGTATTCTAGCTATCTGAAATCAATTATCAAACTACAAAATACCAAGGCTTACTACTTCCGTCTTAATTCAACACATAATCCATTCTACAAATATCAATTCAACAATACTTCCATATTCTTATCAGTTCATCTTCCACTTACTCTCTTTGTGATTTACATATATTCAATTACTGATCTTCAGCTTACTTATTATATTCAATTTTTCAATTCATCACACAAAATTCAATATCTTCACTTAACACAACACAATTTGATAATCTCAATTCTCAAGGTCACAAATTTTCTCCAAAACGGTCAGTCCAAAGTCATATTCCACAATATTCTAATCATAGTTTCAATAATACTTCTCTCAATCACAATTCTTCATAAGAAAATAATAAAAGCAAAGAAAATAAAGAGGTAGCACCAAACTTATCCCGGCTTATGACTATCACAGTCTGGCCCTGATCTCTTTTTTCTCAACTTCTTTATCCTACCAAAAGATGGACCGTTGGCCACTAGATTCCAAAGGTTATGAACCTTTGAATTCTTAACCATTTGTTCCATTAACAACCTACTGTTACCAACTAAATTACCAAACCATAAGTCTAATTCTTAAGATTATCAATAACCAACTAGTAACTTATCACAAAATTTATTTACATATTTTACATAGCTCCACTCCTATCTGTGCAGCATCCTCGCAAACATTATTTAGCTTCAACTTATAAAGACATAGTAGCGTTGGCTTCTTCAGTCAATGGCGTTGACTTACCACCTTTTGAATTGATAACCTCCTCCTCTGCTACATCTTTGTTGTCTACCTTGATGTTTGAAGATTCTCCATCCAAAAACATCGTCAGATTTTTATTCAACAAATACAATTCTCATACTTGAGACTCAAGATGGGCAATTTGATTGTCGCGCTCCTTCAACTTCTTCTGCCATTCTTCTGTAGGTTTCAAAGGTATCTCCGAAGGTGTTGTCGCTGAAACTGGCATATTGGTCATTACTAAATTATTGGCCTCCTTCTCTGATGC